CCCCCATGCCTATCCCTGTGGTTCTCATTCCATACCCTGTCCTCAAGCCTCTTCTCCTGTCTCTGTTTAGGAGTTTCTGTGACGTCGAGCAACACTGGGGTTCCTGACATCTCAGGGTCTGTTTACACAAAGACACAGGTGAGGACGCTAACAGAGCATGTGGTGAATCTGCAGCATCCGGCGACACGTTAACGAACCTGTCGTCAGTCTCGTTAATTAAGGTTTCGAAACGTCAGTTGAGCCCTTGATTTGCGAGACTTCCTCTGATTCAGCTTGTATGTTAACAGTCGAGTGCTCTTTTTGACTTTGTTGAATCCCTATCCCTGGGTAACGGTCTGTCTCCGTCTCTGCAGTCATTCGACAAGCAGGGTTTCCATGCGGCGACGCCAGCGGCCTCCTTCAGCCTGCCCTCGGCCCTGGCTAGCGGGGGACCCATCAACCCCCCAGCTGCGGCCGGCTACGCCCCTGCCCCCTTCATGCACATCTTGGCTCCCCATCAACAGCCGCACTCCCAGATCCTGCATCACCACCTGCAGCAGGACGGACAGGTACAGCCTCTCATTTCGGTTGTTGGGTGCATAGTAGTAGAAGCCATACATCTACAAACCTGTATCTCAAGAAGTAGAGCATCGCACTAACTATATTTACTATAAACGATTTTGTCTCATCCTGTATCTCGTATGAAAATGTATCTTAAACTCAATATATCACCCAGCCCCCACATCAAATGTACATTTGAAGGTGATCCATTACATAGCTCTCTGGAGCTGCTTGTAGTCTGTTCTGTTGCTACTGGTTTGTCCCTTTTTTTTGTGCAGCATGAACCACAGTTAGGTGAGAAGGTGCCAGAGATTCAGTGGTACTGATTAGTCCGTTTCCCCTCCTCCACAGAGTGGCACTGGACAACGTAGCCAGAACTCCTCCATTCAACAGAAGTCCCAGGTCAACAAGTCTGCTTACAACAGCTACAACTGGGGGGCCAATTAACCGGCCTGCCCCCCCCCCCCATCCATTTCCTGATGTCCCAAAGTCTGACAGAAGCCTGTCCACTCCTGACCCCACCCCCACCCCCCTCCCTGCCTGTGCAGTGCTCTTTTGCCAAACCCTTGCAACTCCCTCCCTACAGCACACCTGCAGTACCCACACACCACCACAGGTGTCACTGTATCGAGTGAGCAAGCACTTTGGGGTGGGGGGGGAGTTGTGAGTGTTGGGGGGGGGGTAGAAGGGACTGGAGGGTAAACTACAGACCAGAATGAAAGCCAGTAGTCAGAATAGAGCTCTGAGTTTGTATTGTATCCTGCCTCCGTTCTGTTGTATGTAACACATAGTTGTATTCTAAGATGGCTTTTTCAGGTTTTTTTTCCCCTACTGGGAGGGAATGGAGTCTGTAGAAGGAGTATTACAGGTGTTATTTCACCTCCCCCCCCCCCCCCCCCCCCCCGCCCCAATCTGCTTGATTAAAATCTCTTCCTCCCACTGAAGTTGGGTTTTATTTTCCCCGTCTTTCCCATGGGTGTTACCAGATTCATTTTAAGAACTTCTCTACATGAACTCGGCAAGGCAGGTGAAGTTTTATTGTTTTTTTTTTTTATTTTTTAACCAAATGTACACACAGGCGTGCTAGCATAGCCAGGTGCTGTGTGTTTGTGTAGGGGGGTGTGCTTTGGCGGGGGTGTGCTTTGGCGGGGGCTGACCGGGTGGACTGGCCCTCTGGTGTCACTACTGCATGGAGATGTGAAATGGACAGGTATGGGAGCCCTCCCCTCGGTCACCCGGAGGTCCTTCCTGTTGCGATGCGATACTCCTTGCCCCTCTTCCCCTGTTCCCCCCCCCTTGATATTTTGTCTCCTTGCAAGCTGTTCTTCCTGCTCGACACTGAATAGTATGAATCTGAAAAGTACCCAAATCACGTTTTACCATGGAGCTCTTTAAAAGAGAGAAGTATGTGCTGAGCTGCCCCCACCCCCCCCCCCCCCCCCCCCCCCCCCCCCCCCAATATTATATTATAATTATTATTAGGAGACTTAAAGCCGTGATTAATGATGGACAGAATTGTACTTTTTTTGTTTTGTTTTTTGTCGGTGACTTTTTTGTACTGTGCGTTTAAAAAGAATTTAAATGGATAAACTTGTCTTGTATATATAAAAAAACAAAGTACTGTAGTCCTGGTATGTGTGATGGCTTCATATTTTTTTTATTTGTATTTTCCAAGTTCTCACCCTCAGACCTGTTAGTTTTGGTTTCCTATTTTTTATTTTGTAAACTATATATATATATATAAATATTAAGGAAATAAACAGGAAGACATTTTCATCCTTTGGATGCAAATGTTTTTAATGTATTTTTGGAGCTTGCATCGCTTGTAATTACAGCAGACCTTTTTTGTTTTTTTAAATACTCAGCAGGTTTTTTTTTTTTTTGTAACTTTCATTGTTCATTTCATACAGTGAAATCGTCAGGGAGGGAGGCGTAGGGGGGTGGGTTTAAAAAGTGGTTCATCCTCAGATAAAGACTAATAAAACTCTCAACGTTACCTGTGATTTAGTTTTTTTCCCCAAAACTGGTTCTGTTACCCTTTTGTAATCATTTCAATCTTTTGTTTCCTCATGCACTGTTTCCATTGCTTGTTTTTTTCTTATTTCTTTCAAAAGAAGAGTTCTGGATCAATGGGTCGGCTCTGCTTCATTACTGATTTTGTGTACTTGTGGAGTAAAACCACAAGCTTTATTTCCTGTCTCTTGGTATCAGACAGTCTTGGTTCGTAATGGTTGAATTGAAAGCTAAACGGATCTTTTGCAACACACTTTTTACATGAAGACTATTGCTTGATATCAGAGACTTTCTTTGCAATTAATTTAAAAAGTTCCTCTAGCATTTGTCAGGTACATCAAACGTAAAAGTGCAGCCATTGCTTAGGAAGTAGAAAAGAATTGATGTCTGAACTCGTCAGAGTTTGGGTTCACTGTTGCAGAAAGGGTCCTCTTGCAGTCCACATCCGGCTGCTGAAGCGGGCCCTTAGCTCGAGCTGTTCGAGGAGGCGGTTACATCAGTTCACACGTTACCATATACTGGCAACACGGCCCTTTGCAACGGCAGGAAGTCAGATGCCTGCTTTCGCTTTTCTATGAAGGGGCACTAAAGAGAAGACCCAGGCTCTAATGCGGAGAGGTACGGAACTTTTCTCTGTTTACCATGGTGTTACTACATCATTGTAACATTCGAGGGACATGGATAAGCTGCCAGTGGTTTTATGTTAATGAGTCTAACAACCCAGTACATTGAGGAATCTCAATTTTAGCTTGTACAGTGTTTTGGAAACCTTTCTGCTGGTGCATTTTACACAGATTGGCCCCCTTAAGTAAAACTCAAGTATAGCTTGGCATGCATCATTTATATATACATAAAAATTAAATATATGCTGAGTCACATTACACAGTGTGGATGGTTAGACTGCGGCTTCATTTTTTTTTCCTTTTGCGAAATGAACTTAGAATTAATCTCTGCCATGTTTAGTATAATGATAGATGGCAGCCCTTCTGAGGGAACAACCCATTGCCTTCTAACTTTGTTTTCTCTGCGGGAGAATGCACACATTCCTCTAACACGGTGCCAAATTAAAGTGCAACACGCGTGTCGACAATGAAAATTCATTGCAAGTGTCGCTGGGTGTTCCTCTGTCCAGCACCTGCCTCTGGCATCCCCCCCCCTCCTCGCTGGCTTCTGACCATCATCGCGGCCGTCCCCATGTGGGCGCGCAGTGCACAGCCTGCCACGGCTCTCGCGTGTCATCATAAATACTTCTGTGCGTAGGAAATAGCACGTTACCCACCGCGAAGCCGAGGCACAAAGGCGCTTGTGTCAGGAATGCTGTCCCATGAGAATAAGGAGAGGGCGGGAGACAATGAGAGAGAGGGGAAGCGGAAAAACCAGCTGTGCGAGTTTGCGTTCCTCTGAAGATGCATCATGCAGCACTGACAAAAGGTCTCCGAGAAACAGTTCTGAAAACGGTCTCCAAAAAAAATATATCATTAATAATGAAGTAAGGGGGAAGGATGGAGTACAAAGTACCGTGGCTTTCTGTTTGGTTATGAGAAACTTGTCTACTGGCTGCTGTGGGATGGAAGCTATTGTCTTTTTAAGAGCAGCGCTAACAGGTGTTTCTGTAAGATGACACTTCTGCACATGGATCCTAGAAAGACTAGCCAGCTTTCTACCCTTTCAAAGTAAGCTTTTCGTAGTTATTACATTTTATATTTTAAAATAACATCTAAGCTTGTTAATAAGGTTTGTTTTTCAAGTTAATTGTGCTCCTCTGATGTTTCGGTCATGTGATCTCAGTATTTGTTTTGACCCCGTGTCGCGGTGATCTCTTCATGGTGTGCTTTATGCATTGAATGTACACATCTGCCTGGTGCAGGGCAGTCACAAATCACCCGTTACTGGCGATAAGCAAAAACTGTGTAATAGATTAAAAAAAAAGATAGAAAGACAAAAAGATGCGATCAAACACTGAAATGCTTATACCTTTTTTTGCTATGAATGTGTCATTTGGATCAAAATGTATGCTGTCACAAGCCCAATATTTATGCTCTGCGGAGATTGAATGAAATGCTTGTTAAACAGCATTAATGGTGCATTTGTTTTGCTGAGGAGAACAGTGCACGTTTGACTCATTGCAGTCGTATGTGGCGTGGCACGGGACTTCGGTTTCAGCAGAACTGCGACGCTTTTCTGGATTGCTGTTCCTCCAGTTAACCGCATACCTTGATTCATATGAAGCACCAGTGGCCTGTACTACGAAGCAGGGTTACTGGCTTATTGGGCTAACTTGTCGGATTTAAGGTACCACAGTTTAAATGGACTTCATATTCGTTCAGTTACATTTTGCCCAGACTACCTTAAATCCGACAAGTTACCCCGATAAGCCAGTAACCCCGCTTCCTAGAACAGGCCACTGGTCGCCATGTTTTTATTAATTATTATTATTGTCTTGTGTGATTGAGTGTCATGTCTCTCATTTTTGGTCTGCATTTTTAACATTGTGTGTTTTTTGCTTGCATGGATACATACAGTATGTATTCCATATTTATATGTACATTTTAATGAACTGCTTTTCATGTGGTATCTTTTATTTTCATGTGAATATACTAAATATTATATGGAGGAAAGGGATAGATAAACAAGCCCTGCACTTATGTTCCCAGATTCTAGAAAAATCACAGAGATTTGTAATGGAATATTCTCTTCAGCCCTAAAATTTCTCTCCCTCCACCCTTCACGCTTCCTCCTGCACACACTCTCTTCCCAATCTTCCTCCCTCTCATTTAGATCACTTGGACTAAGTGGCTTTTTTCCTATAAAAGTTTTGGCTGCAGAACTGCATACTAACTAGGTTTAGCAATTTCTAGCAGGGTCACTTGAATGTCCTGGCCATACTTGCTACAGCATTCCTGTGTCAAGGAAAAGTTCTAAAGAAGAGAACTGTTTTACAGGGTACAGGACAACCGGCGAGCTCATGACTAAAATGGAAACGTAACCCGAAAGAGGACCCAGGAAATGCAACGACGACAGCTGGCACCAAGAGGAACCACGGCTGTAGCGATGCAGCTTCTGCGAGGTTAGCAGAGCGGAGTGGCAACCGCCCACCCGAAAACGAAAGGAGGAAAAAGTTGAGCTGTGTGGAGAAAATCAACTTCCTCAAAAAATAAAATAAATGTAAAAACTTTCCTGTGAGGGTAAAGGTAACCTGATACAAGTGGATACGTTTTCACTGGGCTGTGCCAGATCCCACCAAGAAGAAGAAAAACATACGTCTTGTTTCCATGGACTTCTCTCTAGAGGGTTCTGATCTCGACAGCTGTAGTTCTGACAGCCAGCTGCCTGGACACGACGTGAGTGGATGAATGGGGAGCGGCCGTCCTCACACATGGAATAAAGCGAGCCTGGTTATGATTGTACAAACGTGAATAAATGACACAGCTTTTCTATGGAAAAACACAGTCTGAATTACAGTGCTGCTCTTGTTCTCCCTTCAAACTGTACGTATCTTTTTTTTAAAAATGGAAGTCTTGTTTGTGGAAGCATGATTATGAAACGTCAATTGCTTAGCACTTTTTTTCCTTCTGCAACTGCGAGTTTCTGCCAACCTTGTGGACCATATCTTAACCTTGTGCATAAATGATGCCTGGACTTTACAAATGGAATATATTCTTTTTTTAACTCAAAACTTCATTTTGTACATATGAGCAGTAACTGAAATTACAATACTCACAAATATGTTGAATGCTTTTTCATTATTGTGTTTTTTTCCAGTGGTTGTCACTCTGAACTCATCCCTAGCCAACGCAAGATTTTAAAAAAGGATGGAACTATCTGAAGATCTATTACCCAAATGTAGCACGCCTCCCGGTGCTTTGTCTAAGCCAGGTTCCGCAGACATTACAGCTGAATGCAAAGCCCAGGGCTTGGAATCCACCACAAACACACCACTTCCAGCAGTGCCACAAGGTCACAACCGTCGTTTCATAATCCGCTCCGCTACTGAGCTCGCTCCATCCAAAGAAACAAATAGGCCTCAGAAGGACCTTGGTAGAATTCGGAGTGTCTATGAGGGGAAAGGCAACAACTTACTGCCTGAGGAATGCGGGAGCAAGGACACAGACAGACAACCAGAAAATGACATCCGCCGGCTTTCAACGACTGTCACCGGGGATGATACAGAAGACCAGATCAGAACTTCATCTGATCTAGAGTCCAATCAGCTCAAGGCCCAGAACTGGGAAAAATATACAAAAGACCTGAAAGAAAAAGTAAGACTGAATACTCAAGGGAATCGAGAGGTAGGAAAACCTGAAAGATGTCATAGTGAAGATTATATGAAACCAGACATGTTGAGAGGGAGGGCAGAACTGCAAAAGGGCAACGGGCCAAGTAGGAGCAGGAGCGTGGACCTGGGTGGGCAGTCAAGTAATGATGGAGGGAATGCTTGGGAGCAAAACTTCTGGAAAAACAACATGCAGCGGGCAGAGAGTTTAGACAGAGGAACAACATCCAACACAAAGGATCTTGGTGTGCTACCCAGGACTGATTTGTACCAGTCAGTCGTAAAAACAGAGGGAAAAAAGCCCTTGGGAGGCTCACCAGTAACAGGCAGCACTCATGGACTTTTGTATTCAAAAATGGGCAACGACTGTCAGTCACTGCCATCTCGGAGAAAGCTGAATCGGAGTGATTCTGGGGAGGGAAAAGATTTGGGGGATCCAAGTCAGGATGGTCCTTGCCTGGGTAAGCTACAATTCAGTCCTCTCTCTGGACCTGTAGACTCTGAAGCTAACAGCAGGAAAGTTGAAGAGGTATCTGCAAACCAGTCTATTCGGAATCGGATTGAGAAATTGTTTGGGTCAAATAACATGGGTATGGCTACAAAATACCACCAGGAACCTTTGGGGGATTACACGCAGCATACTAAACAGGGCCTTGAAGACCACAATAATCTTAGGCCTTCTTTGTCTGATACCCATTGGAAAGGTATTCCATACAAAGGCCCCAAGGGTGGCACATTCCCCAGGATTCATTCTGTGGAGGAGAAACTTACTGGTCATGGAAACTTGTGCACTGACAAAAAAAGCGTGTGCAATTTGAATCGAGAGATGCCTCCAGTATGCTCTGCTGCAGGTGACCAAACTTCATTAACAGAACTCACAGTTAGTGACTGCAAACACCAATTTAGGTTATTTGACAGCCCTCAGAAGAACCCTTCTGTTCTAATGCCACCCCGATTATTTAGGCCTAATCCTGGGGATATGTTACTGTCTGGAAAGAATCCTCCACTGCAGAGACAAACCAAGCTTGTAATGGACAAGGGGGAAAGATGGAGAGAGTTTGAAATAGAGAAGGATATGATGCAGGAAGAGCATGAAATAGGTAGATCAAAGAAGAAGAAAGAGGCTGATGTGATGCGAGACCAAGTACATAATGTTGACCAACAAAAAGTGGCAGAGGGAAATTCAGCAGGTAAATTGGTAAAGGAAAGTGGGGAAGACAGCAATATGCAATCAAAATCAATGAGAGTCGTGTCCGTTGTCCAGAGAAGTCCTACAGTGAAAATCTGCACGACACTGGACTGGCCCCTGCAGGCATCACAGGCAGAATCACAGTCAGCATCGCAAGAGGCAGTCTCAGCTCCAAGAAGGTTGAATAAAGAAGCAAAGAAAGACACCCTTGATAATCCATGTGGCAAAATAAAGGATCAGAAGGGGAAACCAGACCCTGTAAAATTTAGGGTTGACTTTCCAGATAGTGTACGCAATAAAATCCGCAAGTTTGAAACTCTGGCCCAAAACAGCCAGCCATCCCCACTGCCCTCATCACGATCTCAGAGAGCATACTCTGTACAGGACCCGCCCAGAGAATTATGGGGAGGATGGGAAAAGAAGGGCGTACCAAACAAAGCTTCGGCTGGGAAGGGAGATTGTGGGCTTCAAGTTTTCAATGACAACCTTTGGTCTAAGGGAGAAGGGAAAAGTAATGTAGAGGTAGATGGAAGGCCAAGTGGCTATGTAATAAGATCTATTTCAATAGATGAGGCGGGGCAGAGGAGATGTGACAGGAGAATGGTTTGCGGAAATAAATGTGATGGCTCTAAGGCTGGAGCTGGATTACACGGGGCTTCAGTTGAGCCACATTCCTCAAAGGTTCGTCACACAGACACCAAAGGGGAAGTAAAATCACAAGAAGAAATCTCTCAACACCTCGATGCAAAACAACTTAATACTCTTCAGAAAACTGATGGGAACAACAAAAACAGTATTAGTGGTCATAATGTTTACGATTCAATGAATGCATCAAGTGTAGAATACAAGGCACCCAATTTCCCAAAGAGGTCGCCTCTTATTCATGTCAGCAATATAACTTCCAGCTGCCCAAATCAGGTTTGTATTTCAAAGATGGAATCCCCAGCTTCAATGAATATGCTAAAAAACATCAAAAGCACACCTTCACCTCCTCCACCCAACCTACCTACAAGTGTCCCTACTCCACCTGCCTCAAAGCCTCAGTCATCCAATATCATCTCCTCCAATGACTCCCTACTTCACATTGGGAAGACTCCCCTGGAAAGAGACAGTGCGTGTTCTAGTGTCCACAAGGCCAGGTGGAGTTCAGACGAAGAAGAGTCTGACAAAGATGATGACAGTGGCACAGAGAAAGAAGAGAACTCCGTTTATGATTCGGACTCTGCAGAATCGTCAGTTACCATCACTAGTAATATGAGCCAGTCTGATCACAGGAGCTTTTCAATCACGTGAGTCTTATAAATTTTTGTCATCAAATTTCCTACCACTTGGGAAATTTTAAATTGACAGATAACATGCATTTAAAACATATGTGGGCAAGAGTATTTATCAACCATTCAATGCTAATTTTCTGCCCTATCCATGCTCAGTCTAGCTGATCTGTGTCATGTTGGTGGTGTGGACTACGTGTTCAATGATGAGGGCAGCCTGGACCCAGACTCCTTGGACTACACATCACATCGGACAGCTTCTCTAAGTTCGGAAGCTTCTGCCCTCTCGTGTGTGTCAATACTTAGTGCCGATGAGTTGGATCGCCTGCTCAGTGATGTCAGGAGCCTGGGCGATGAAACGTTGCAGGTGAACCCTTGAGTAACACGTGGTCAAGAATGTATATTCTCATATTTTCCTGAGCCAAATAAATATTTCCAGCTTACAGCTCAACATTCATACTCTTTTAAAAAGACTTGGGCCAAATACACTCTCCCTCTGGTTCTCCTTAGAAGTCCAGCACAATACAGATTTCATACACATCTCACTTAACTGTTTCTTCATATTCTTCTCATTGCTTTCAGAACTATGAAGATGTGCAGGTTGTCGTTCTGCACAAAGAGGTGGGGTCTGGGCTGGGCTTCACATTAGCTGGTGGTGTTGATCAGAACAAGCCCATTACGGTAAGTGTTAGAGTCCTTTGCATGTTCCAGGATCTTAATGTCTGACCTTACATAACTTTGCTTTTAGTCTACTGTCCAGCTAACAATTTAAGTTGAGTGATATCTTATATTGTAGTAATTAGTAACCCTATAATTAGCACTGTTACATCAGTATTCTTGTGTGACCTTTCAACTGTTTGTTTATCTAATCTAGGTCCACAAGGTGTTCTCTGGCAGTGTTGCCTCCCAGGAGGGCTCAGTTTGTGAGGGTGACCGGGTCTTGTCAATCAACGGCACTAAACTGCAGAACTCGACCCACTGCGAGGCACTGCGCACCCTCAGGAGGGCTCGGTCGAGAGGCATGGCAGTCGTGGTGCTTCAGAAGGACAGCCTCACAAAGCCACAAAAAGCCCAGAACAATCTGAGTCAACGGCAGCTAGACCCGGTCACCGTGAATACAAGTGAAGTATAAAGTCGAACGGCAAAAGGGCACTAAGGGTGACAGCTATCTCTGCAATAGTCAGCATATGTTGTCCCTCTGCTGTTCTTCCCTCAGGAGGCAGGACACTGACAGTGGTGTTGAATAAAAGCAGCACAGACTTAGGCTTCAGTCTAGAGGGGGGACTGGGCTCCAGCCAGGGTGACGGGCCAATTGTCATCAAGAAGGTCTTCCAGGGTAAAATGACAATGGTTTCACTCATACTGAAATGACTAGTCCCTTGTCATACTAAGAAATAAACCTTGTGACGACAAATGACCAGCCCCCTGTTGTTCTCTTCCAGGTGGCCCAGTGAATGAGGTGCTGCCAGGGGATGTGCTGTTGAAAATCAATGGACACAGCCTGCAGGGTTTACACAGACTGGAGGCCTGGAACTTGATTAAGAAGCTGCCCCCTGGGCCCGTGGAAGTGTTGCTTAATCGTCCTCTTTAATATATGCCCAATGACATTGGGACAGCACAACAACTGGTATGGATTTCACAACCCAAGCTCTACAGATGTCAGAAAGAGATAAAACGTCTTTGTGTCAGGCAGAAACAAGAACCCGGAAGAGAATGAAGACAAGAAGCATCACGTGGAATAACAAGCACTTATACGATATGTTCAAAAAAAGTGTGTGGTCTTGATATATAACAATATATATTAACTGTAAGAAAAGGATGCAGATTACAGGATTCGCTTTTTGACCTTTAAAAAAATGAACTGCATATCTACAAAACTGCATTTCAAAAACTCCTTTTTATAACAACTGTAAATTGGCTTATTCCATACAGGGCTGCGAAGTTGCTTAAAATATTGTTTGTAAATAAATGACATCTGGTATTAACTATATTTAAAGTCTGTAAAGATGTAATGTTATTATCGCACAGAGCCGCACTGCATTACTGAAGCTCTAATTGTAATCTATCCTTGACAAATTGACTCAAACCTGTAGTATATAAACTTTACATAACTTAAGTCTTTGCTATGTGCCATAGTCAGCCATTTATTTCAGACGAATTGTCTAGCCGAGAAAAAATATGTACATAGTTATGTAATATATTAGCATGAAGCATGAAGCATTCCTTTTATTCGGCAGTGTGGCTTTCTGCGACTACAATACCCAAAATGCAGTGCTTTCCTTTTACCGGTAAATACAAAGTTAAATACAAACGCTATTTTAATAAAAGCCAAGTACTTATACTTAACGTATGCTTAATTTATTATGTCAGAGTTAAGCTTCTGTCAACTTTATCTACATATCTGCGAACGGGAGAGGATATTCGGGGTTGTCCACTGTGGTCAGGTGGCTGCACACAGATACACACGCAATAACACTGACGTATGTAACAGTTTTATTACCTCGTAAATAGTCTGTAGGGTTTGCAAACTACCACAATGCTTTTGATGTATCTAATCTGAGATTTATAATGGAATAATATAGATTTGCCGTAAGAATTCTTGCCAGGTGCGTGAGAGCGGGCAGCCCTGGCGTTTTTGCCGAGTCCAAACCGGTCAGAACTGTCCAGAAACGCCGCCTGACTTCCCTCCAGGCGAAGCCTACAGACTGCGTGCTGACGCTAAAGCATTTATAGTCTAAACGGGGAAAACACTCTTCTTCATTCGTTTCGCGCAAATTATTTTTTATGTTATTAAGTAATTTGTCAGTATCTGCACCTCTTTCCGTGTGACAGCGGGACTCTCCCGCCGTTGGCTCACTGTAAATGGCCTGATACTGACCGACGGGCGGCCGACGTGCCCTTCGTGGAGAGTGTCTCACCGCGGGGATGGACGTGCTCGCTTTATTCCCAGTGCTTTTTCCGGTGGTCACCATAGCAGAGACAAGCGAGGGCGAGACACGTGAAATTCCTCACCACCCAAAGCGTGCTGCAGGCAGTTCAACACAATCGGAGTTAAATACTGTACGTCAGACGTGGGTATCGTCAATATAAGCGACAGCATTTCTGTATGTTGCGTGTTGTATGACTGTACAACTTCACTAAGATGTGCACATGAAAAACAGCATAGTACAAGATTTATTTGACATGACACGCATTATTTCTTTGTCTGGTTGTTTGCATGACCGAGAATCATAATGAACAAAACTAGAATAAACACGACCATCTATTTATACAGATTTGTAATCCACTAATGATGAAGAGTTTCGAAACTACAAAGCTTACGTTAGCTTAATTTGTTAATTTTGTGTGGTGTCTGAATTTGGGTTTACCGGGAAGCCTCTTTTGATTGTGTAACACATGATGACACTGGAGATGGTGATGATGATGATGACTGCGCGTCCTAAGACCAGAGGCCCTTTGATGATGGAGATGTGGGATCAAATTCAGGGAGCTGTAGGTGGTGCCTCTGAGGTCTGGATACAATTTCAGGGCGATGGAGGAAATCCTTTCCTCACAAAGCCATTGGAAAGTACTTCTAAAATGAAATTCTTCACTGTCATTGCTCTGTCTTGATCTTTTTGTGCTTTCCTTTCTGCTGTGATTCTGTCCTTACTACGTTCTGTGGTAATTGGTCTTCCTCCTCGGCCTTCTTCGTCTGCCCGTTACCTTTTTCCGTTGAATGCTCATCATCGTATTAACCTTACACAAACCATAGGCTTTCTGAAATAACCTTATAATCTTTTTGTGCTCTTTTCAAATTCCATTCCACATATTGATGCACCTTCTACCTTGGATGACTCAGGCCAAAGTGAAAGAGCAGTCTGATCACAGAAGCAAGCAAGAAGCCCCTGGGAAACCCAGAGAGGTGGGTGACCTTTCCCACAGGCCTTGGGCTGTTGGATACACTGTCACTCACTCCCAGAGGTGGGTAATTCAGGTCCAGAGAGGAAAAATCCAGACCAAGGTTTTGTTTCAACCAGCCAGTTCAGTACTCCGTGGCTGTGACTCTTTATACTCAATTGGCTGGTTGAAACAAAACCTTGGTCTGGATTTTTCCTCTCTGGACCTGAATATCTCACCTCTGCCCAACCTGCTGGCACCATCACTCACCTATCTTTGTTATGACTCACCTCTGTATTTTGTTTTTTCCTGCCTTCCTCTCCTGTCTGTTTACCCATATACATATTATTTAATGTGCTCTTGCCCCAGTGCCTTGTTGGGCAGCTTGATGATTTCTGGGTATGTGCACTGAGTACAAAGTAGGAGTCTATGGAAATTGTGAAGGAGGGTGCGTGTAAAACATGAGAGGTTAAGAACATGGTTAGTTCTAGTACAGCTCCTATTGGCGTACGCTTGAGCTATGTCATTATCCTGAAATGTTCCAGTCAAATGTCCAGCTGTATATATTGGAAACGGGTAGGCCTAAAAGCTAATGTGGATGAACATGTCAGCTAATCAGATAAATATGTTGTTATTATTTATATATCAGGTATTAATTAACGAAAGCCACATTGATTAACTCCTCTAATCAGCAGTAAACTAATCAGGAACAGCTTAATAAAGTTTATAAACAGTCTCTGTATGAGCTTTATTCTATCATCTGATTTTATGCACTTACATATGGTTTAAAAGTCCTTCTCAGAGAACCTGGCATGGATGAAGAAACCAGATGTTGAACCCAATAACAAGACATTTCTTTAGGTCGGTGACTGTTAGCCCAAAAGGGTGGATAACAGCCGAATTCAGAAACATTCTGACAAAGGTGAATAATAGGGTTGTTGTAAACCTTTTAAACATGTCACTCTCCATTTTAAGGTTACAGCAAATGTTCATGTGGACACCTTGGATTTCATTTAATTAAAATCAAATATGCATCTATAATTTATCTTCATGAACAGTGGCTGAAGTTTATGTAGATTAAGTAATAATTAGAAAATACAGCTGTCCCTTTAGCACTCACGTGCTGTGCATACTTGTCCTGTGCAGGGTCGCAGTGGTCCAGAGCCTATCCTGGAAGTTATGGACACAAGGCAAGGAATAACCCAGGATAGGGCGCACACACCAGTCATACCAGTCACACCAGTACCATCATGCCACCCCTATTTAACATAATTTAGCTTCATTACCAAACCAATGCAGCATTAGCGGGCACTTATTTTACATTTTTAGATTGCTTGATACATTTCTTGGTGTTTGTTGTTATAATAACAATGTGTTTGTGTTACCTTTTCAGACAGTGATGGAGAGGGACACAGTGAGAGTTGATCAAAAGTATGAGGACACCATGGACACTCGCTCCATGAGCCCTGGGGAGAATACAGAGCCCCAGGACCAGCCATGGAGATCAAAGAGCCTCGAGGAGAGCACGGAGCGTCAGGACCAGCCAGGGAGAGCATGGATCCTCAAGATATCCGGGTAGATCACGGAGCCCTGGGGAGAGCATGGAGCCCCAGGACCAGCCGGGGAGAGCATGGAGCCCCAGGACCAGCCAGGGAGAGCATGGAGCGTCAGGACCAGCCAGGAAGAGCATGGAGCGTCAGGACCAGCCAGGGAGAGCATGGAGCCCCAGGACCAGCCAGGGAGAGCATGGAGCCCCAGGACCAGCCACAGAGAGCATGGAGCCCCAGGACCAGCCAGGGAGAGCATAACCCCAGGACCATCTGGAGATAGCACTAAGCCCGAGTACCAGCCGGGGTGCGAGTACCTGCTCAGTGACCCTTGCTCATCACATTGGCAGGCCTTCACTCTCTGAATACTTTCAACTTTAATTAGGTACAAATAACAGGTTATAGTAGACCTTTTTGCTTAATTAATTTTGAAATTTCAATGTTTTTGCAGTACTATTATATTGCTAAAACACACAACTGAGTCTGTTGTTTGATTGTCTGGTTGTCTGAGAAATAAATGGTAAAGGTAGGACACATGTCCCATGATGCTAAAACAGGCACATACTCTAAGTGCATTTCATTAAGTCTCTGCGTGACTGTATTTCGAACACTCCTCTTATCCACTTAGCCAGCATTTGTGTTGAAGTTTTTGTTGCGTGATGCTGCTAAGTTATTTATAATCTAAACAGGGAAGACACTCATCTGAATTTGATTTGCACGAATAAGTAATTTTTATGTCAAAGTAATTTGTCTATATCGATTGTTCCTAACCATCCCAGCACTGATTCAGTTTAAGTGGCCTGATACAGACAGACTGGCTTATATTACACGAATACAGAAACTGAGGTTTTACCTGTCAACATGCACTATGTTCATATGATTATGCGATTGCTTAATGGTCTTTGGAATGACATTCAGAACATTATGTAGCTGCCAATTAGTAAGTTTTCACTTCTGTTTATAGCGAACATGTGTCATTTAAAGATAATAAAAAGCACTGCTGCCTTTTATACCTGTGCTATTGAAATGAATTATTGTATTCACTGTCATAAACCATGATACAGTCGGATTGTTCGGTATCGTTTTAGGAATTGACTGCAGAAAATGCAGTTTCTGTGGAAACTTGTAATCATGGAACACCTCTACCTTTCTGTTCCATTAAAACAGTCGTCCTGCTGAAGAGAAACAGCCAGAACCAAGGCCACACACTCTGTTGACATAACTGTATTTTGCTAATAATTCACTAATAATACTCCAGTGTTCTAGTGCTGAGGGAGAGCTGGGGGCTGACATTAATGTGACCTGAATTGTTCCGCAGGTGCTAACCTTATCTGTGCCACCACCCTATGACATCAAACTATTGTAACCCAAAGAATGCAATCGCTTTTTCTGTTTACACAGTGCAGCGCAGGATTCCCAGCTCGTATGGCCGAGCTTCTAGTCAAAAGAGTTATTTCAAAGTAGGGCGATGCTGCTGCTGCTGTTGTTGTTTCTGCTCAGACTGCGTGTAAAGATGACGCGCCAACAACATTTACATTCATCAGTGTCTTGTATGTTAACACGGGGCATGGTTTTGCCTGATTCAAGACACGTACATCGTTTACCTGAAGATTAACTATGGGCATTGCTTGGTATTCTATACTAAGAACAATGTGACATTTACAGCTTGGGACTGGTTGTCACGTCCTGCCCGTCATGTCTCCCTGACCCCCCTGTCTCCTCCCTAACATACCTGTAGCACTGATAAGCCACGCCTGTTGCTTGTTACCCATCATTAGCCTTTATATTTAAGTACATGTTTGTCTCCTCTGCCCCAGTTCAGTCATTGACGTCATTCCTGTCTATCTCATGTCCTTCATCATACTCGCCTTCTTGTTTTGACCCCTTGTGATCCCATTTGTTTCACTTGCTCCTGTTTTG